CCTGGGAAACAAACCAAGTACATTCTCACTCATTTGATTTTTCTTTCCTTTCAAATCTCTATCCTTGCCTCCTCCTATCTCTCTTCCCACTTCTAGGAGGGAGATTTCAATTTGTTCTCTCTCCATGGTTACAGTGCATCAGTACTGACTTAACTAAGCATATTTTTTTGGTTGTTGTGGGTTTTCTTAAGAACACGGCCAAACAGCCCGGAAAACCCACAACAACCATCGGATCCTGGCCGTGAAAGCCTTCAAGAATACTTTTTTTCCTTCCTCCCTCTGCTCCATGGAGGAACAAAGGGAGAAAGTTTTTAATTTCCATATTTAATTTCACAATTTCCCAATATCACACACTGGGAATTAACCAAAGTGGAGCAATTCTACCTGCATCAAAAAAGTAATAGCCCCTGATAAGGACCCAGAATGGTGCAGTAGGAATGTGTTGGGTGCAGGTAAGAATGCTTTGGGGACAGACTGGTTTGCTCCTGCAATTACATCATCTAATAACTAAAAAAAGTAGTGAATCAATCTGTCCCCATAGTGGACCAAAGAGTGGACCAAATCCTTGTTTAATCACACCTTAATTAGGGACTCTGATCTCCTTGATGCTGGTTGGCCCTATCTCCAGAGCTGGAGTTCCTGGTGCGGTTTAGGGTCCTCTGAATCTTGGGGAGGTAATGTGATTTTTTTGGGTGCCAGGCTCCTGAGATTTCTAATGAACTGATTTTCGGGTAGATGGAAACATATTGAATTCTTCCTAGCACTAAGTATTCTCCTCAAACTGGAAAGTTTTTTAAAACAGTGTTTCCTTGAGAACAAGAAGTCAGGATTGTGGTTCCGGTTTGTTTTGGGTGCAGTGATTGTGCTTGTGCCACTTCAGTTCAACATGCTATCCATTCACCCTTGTTATACATGTACCGCCAACTTAGCATGGTTTAATATTTCAGCAGGATGGAGGAACTTTTAGCTGTTGTTGTTGTTGTTTAGTCGTTAAGTCATGTCCGACTCTTCGTGACCCCATGGACCAGAGCACGCCAGGCCCTCCTGTCTGCCACTGTTGTAGTCCTTTAATAACTCCAGACCTGATTTTCTTAGGTCCTCCGTCTATTCTGTTAATTTCCTCTCGCTGATGAGCTGATAATTTACTGTCCCAGGGATTTATTCTTCCTTCCAAAACCAAAGACGCTTCTGTTATCAAAGTCCTATTCGACTGGCTTCTCCCACTCTTCAGTCTATGTCGCCACACTGATGATTCATCACCTGTTTTTTATTCCCAAAAGCCTGTGCCTCCTGCTCCAAAGACAAGATTTTATTTTCAGAGTCTACTCAATTAGTGAGAAAAGTCCAGATTACACAGCATTGACAAGATTTCAGTCCCTGTTGAGTAGTATTTCCTCTGGGATTTTTTTCCAGAAACACAAAATTTTTCTGTCTCACAGTGTATCTGAATGACCTTGGGCCAGCTTGCTAATTATAAATAACAGACAGTTTGCTTAAAAAAAGAAAAAAAGCAAGCTGGCATGTACGGTTCGGCACTTCCTCTTTCTCCTTTCGGTCAGGTATTTTCCCTTTTTAGTTTCTTTTACATCTTAATGAGGTTATTCATAAATCAAAGGCTTACTTTGCTGGTGTTTCTGTTCTCCTTCCTCGGGCAATTTGGGGGTGGCTATCCATGGCTAAGTAACTGAAATAGTAACTATCTGGTCTTCAAAGTACAGGTCACAGAATCCTACTCAACAGTGTGCCAGTAACCATGTTGGTTATGAGATTTTTGGAGGTATAGTCCAGAGTAGTCATCTAGTCAGCTTGGGTGGAAGGTCTTATTCAGTTAGTATGCACTAATCTGAAGAGGAAGCGTGGCTATAGTGAGTTGATAATCAGGCTATTCTTGTTATGTTTGCATTGGTTTATATGTGCAGTCGATTAGGTAGAGTTTAGGACTGGTGATCATCCCATGGTGACTGGTGATACCTGAGCCTTGCTGCTCAGAGCTGTAACATGGGAGTGGTCCAGCTCATCTTCATGGATTTATGGGCCCATATAAGTGACATGAGAAGATCTGGCTACACTTGTTGAAGAACGGCATATGTGGCCTCTGTTTCATGAGAAACAGTGGGCTTACCCAGGAACTTTCCAGGCTAGTTGTCTGAAATTAGTATTTTGATACTGAAACAGGCACATCTCTATAGGCTGTAAGCATCTCTTTTATTGTGGGGGAGAGTTCCATGTGTTCCAGGGAAGGTTTTGATCCATTTTGAAAATCTGGGCTTGACTAAGAACTGTGGCAGAGTACAAAAAATGCTTGAAGCACAAGCAGTGAACATTCTGTAGTATCACCTGCATACCTGTGGAATGCTGCCTACTTGGCACAGCCCTGCATTTGTTTGTTTGTTTGTTTGTTTGTTTGTTTGTTTGTTTGTTTGCAACAGTATATGTGAATTAACTGAGCAGTTTTTCTAATCTGGGATCCCTTTGAGAACACTTTAAAAAAGTATAGAGGGATTTCAGAATGAGCAACTAAAGAAATTAATTTTAATAAAAATTAACGTATGTATATTATGTAGTTAAAAGCAAGTGCTAAAAGTCTCAGCTTTCTGTGTGAAAGCTGGATTTAAATAATGACTGGGAAAATATAAGTAAAACCACTGAACCTTTTTGCAGATTATTCTATTAGAGGTAACCTCACTCATCTGGTTCAGTAAGATGTAATTAACCTATCTGCTTCAATTACTTCCCTGTGTAAAACTGTGCCTCACAGGAGAATTTGTAGGGAACAGGGTATTTTATTTATTTTTCATTTATTATTTTATGTTTATTTATTTTTACCAATAATGATATTTGGCAGTCTAAAAAGTTGAAATTGCCTCTGTGCCTCTGACAATAGCAAATCTCTGGACATCTCTGTATAAGATTGCAGCCTAACCTTATATATCTTTTTTTTAAAGAAGTATGTCCTATTGAATTCATTTTGGTTTACTTCTTTGATAGTGGTTTAGAATCAGAGCCTCGTGACTGTAAAGCATAGGCATCCTTCAGTCTCGAGAGACTATGGTAACATGCTCTGAACTGAGGCGTGTCCTCTCCAGAGCATGCAGCCCGGGTAAGGTAATATGGAGGATAGGCTGTTACCCTATCTGCTGACTGTAAAGCAGACAAAATAATTTCATATTACAAGTGAGGAACATGTGTCTCTCAGTAACAGCACTCTCAGCAAACATAAATTAAAGCACTTATTTTCAAATGTTTTTTAACTAAAAGATAAAAAAAATTCAAGACACTTATTCAAAACAGAAAAAACATAGTTGACCACTCTGTCTTCTCAGTATAGTACGTATAGTATGTTTTTGTCCAAATGTTGCTTTAAGGAGGAGTTCAGAGGTTGTTCTGGGAACAATTTTTAAAAAAATCATTAAATGAATAAAACAATAGCTGCTGTGTTATTATTGAAGCTAAGGGAATGTGGTGGTGCTGTGGGTTAAACCGCAGAAGCCTCTGTGCTGCAAGGTCAGAAGACCAGCAGTCGTAAAATTGAATCCACGCAACGGAGTGAGCTCCCGTTGCTTGTCTCAGCACTTGCCAACCTAGCAGTTCGAAAGCATGCAAATACAAGTAGATAAATAGGTACCACTGCGGTGGGAAGGTAACAGTGTTCTGTGTCTAGTCACGCTGGCCACATGACCATGGAAACTGTCTACGGACAAATGCTGGCTCTATGGCTTGGAAATGGGGATGAACACTTCCCTCTAGAGTTGGATATGACTGGACAATTTGTCAAGGGGAACCTTTTCCTTTACTTATAATTGAAGCTGGTCATGCTTCATCCAAGCTAATGTGACAGAGCTCCAAAGATGCAATTTGTTTCTGAAGGCAATACTTTAGAGAGATTGCTCACAGCTCTACCCTTTACTGAAGAATGTTTAATTACTATATTACTGCAAATACATTGCTAAATAATAAGAAGCTATTATGACCAGAGAGATCTCGAATCGCATTTAAGCCTAGCTAATTATCAGTTCTGGTGGTTGTTGCTACATGTAATCAGCTTCATAATCAGTACTTTTCATTCTTGAAGTGAATGATATAACAATGTTACATCTGCTTCATAGCATCCTTTGTTTAAATTTGTCAGTTATTCGTGTATATGTTTTGCATAATACTTGATTTACAAAAAGAGACTTGTTGGCTTTAACTAAATAATTGCTTCAGTTAGTTTTTGATACATACTGATTAATTCAAGTACTCTGTGTGCAAAGTTTTGATGATCTGTCCAATAAACTGAATGGACTAGAGAGTTTATCCTTGAAAGCCATGGATTCACTAGCTGTTCTTCAGCCTTTGTGTTCATCATTTTTTTTGGCAATGAAAATGTAATGTTCAGGTGTAATTGTCAAAAAATATTTGATTGAGTTGTACACTTTAACTTTTTTTGAAATTCAGCACACATTCAAGTACGTATCACGTTTACAAAGCTAAGACTGTGGCATCTTCTGTCATTTGGAATCTGCATCTCAGAAATATAAAATCTGCAACTAGGAATATAAATCAGTCTTGATATGAAACTTACATCTGCTACCAGGAATAGCAGCCACAATTCTCGCTTGCCCTTCCCTTTCTGTAATGCCTGATTTTATCTATATTTTGACATCAAAGCAATTTGTGTTTCCTTGTTCTCACACTATATTACTGATTATTTACCACTGTTGTGACTAGAGTCTATGATTAAGTCCATATGGTACAACTGTAGAGCTAACACTTTATGAGAATTTCACATCTAAAGATAAGAGGTAAAGAAATATCAGACATGTAGGTAGTTTAAAAATAGATTTGTAACAGTGTAAGGTGGGGTTTTTAAAAATAGAAGACATATTTGTAGCTGAACAGCAATATAATGGATAAGTAATAGACATCTTTAAATTTAAAATAGTATGCTACAGTAGACAAACAGAATGTAGATTTCTTACCAGTTTACTAAATATCTATATGTTCTTTCTCCTTTACAGAGAGAGACAAAAGGCCAGTTTCTCATAGATTATGTTTGTAATCACTACAGTTTGCTGGAAAAGGACTACTTTGGCATTCGCTATGTGGATCCTGAAAAACAGAGGGTATGTATGCACACTCTCATATAATTTAGTTGTAAGTAATATTGGCCTTTTCCTTTGTATAGTCATACCCTCAGCATCACATGTAAGGATTTGTTCCCCTGGTGCTCCAGATAAGCAGTAATCGACTTATAGAAACAAGTAGAAGAGTTCTTCTGAGTGGGATGTGTAGGTTCATGCCAGCCTCCAAGCTGGGATACACATTATAGTTGCCATGGGGATCAGCAGCATCCCTGTGGTGGCTATAATGTGTAGCTTAGCTAGCTGTGCCTCCTCCCACCTCTACCCCTTCCCCGCCACCGCCTTTGGGCTCAAGTGTTGAAAAAAGTCAACACTTTTTCTAGCATGACCATGAGAATAGCATATGTAGAAGATCCATTTCTAGATTCTCAGAAATTTCTGTGCTGACAGTCTTTTCATGCTGTTAGACATGTAATAGACTAAATCTCATATTTTGAGAAAGTTACTTGTTGGAATACAGTTCCCAGAATCTTCCAGGCAGCATGACTGAGATTGACTTGGGATTTGGAGAGCTGTAGTCCTAAACTTCCCCAAGCTCTGTCAAATCTTCTGGGATTCTATTTCTAGTTGCCTTCATTGTAGTGTTCAACATGAAGACCAAATATATTTGAACTGTAAAGGACCTTTGAAAGATGCTGGTTTCAAAATGGGCATACCAAGAATTCATGGATGCAAAGAGTTAACATCGTGTTATGATTCCTATTTATTTTTATTAGAATCAATTTTTTAAGGTTTTTTCCCCCCTGAGCCCCAACAATATGTTTTTCAAAAATCTTCAGGGTCACAGATGCTAATAAACAATACAAATAATACATGAAAGTTATCTTGCACATATTGCACACCACAGGCTCAGAATTAATATAGGGACAAAATTAATGTAGGATGTGATTTTTCTTGAGAGAGGTGGCAAATAGTGTTGTTTTAGGTACTTTTGGTATAGATGGAGGCTCTCCAGAGACTAGTTAAGCATTTTGCTGCTGCAGGACTTCGCTGCCTTCCTCCTTATCCAGCACATCTGAAGTGAGCCACTTCAGTTTTGTATACAACACAGTTTGCTTCATTGCAGTCTGTGCAGGTGTTTGCATCTCCAGAACCATGTGATATTTATTGGGCATATTAATGCTAACGCTTATACTGTAAGTAGATTAGTCCTTTGCTGAGTTGCAAAAAAAGTCAAGGGCCTCAGATGGAAGAACTGATGTTAACTTAGAGGAATAAAATTATCTAAGAATGTTTTTACAGCAGTGGGAAACCTTTATCTTTTAAAATTGTTCTGCCAGACAGTTTCTTTTTCCTCCTCCAGTTTTCTCCCCCTTTGCCTGTGAAATCCTTCTAAAACAAAAGAATTAAAAAGTGACAAAATAAAATTCCCTACAGAAATGTTGTTCCAGGAGACTAATCCTATGCACTGTGTCCAATCTGGTAACAACTATGGGACAGAGCAGAAAAAGAATATCAAACTTTCTGTTTCTGCAAATGGACCCAAGACCACTGTTGCTAGCCTCACTGTCATCTTAGGATCCATGGAATGTCTTCACCTTTCCTAACCATTGGCTTAGTCTTGAACCACCTAGGGGATGTGGCAAAGGGATACATCTGTTTTTGGTCCTAAGTAGATTTTTCCCTGCTTGCCTCACAGAAAACATTTTTCTATGTGTTGTGGCCTAAGCTTTGGAATGGGCTCAAGCTCTACATGAAATGTAAAGTGCTGCTTTGTGGATGCTTTGAAACAAATAGAAAACAAATCACTTCATCTAATTTTGCCTTCTGTAAAACTATTGTAAATGACAGCCTTTTAGATTTACAGGAAATTTGCGTGGAGTAAGAATGGAGTTATCCACTCTTTTCCTCTTCCACATGACAGCCACAAAACTGCCTCTACAAGCTACTTCATCCTCATGGGATTGTTGTTGTTTAGTCATTAAGTCATATCCGACTCTTCATGATCCCATGGACCAGAGCACGCCAGGCCCTCCTGTCTTCCACTACCTCCCGGAGTTGGGTCAAATTCATGTTGGTAGCCTCAATGACACTGTCCAACCATCTCATCCTCTGTTGTCCCCTTTTCCTCTTGCCTTCACACTTTCCCAACATCAGGATCTTTTCCAGGGCCTCATGGGGTACCAATATATAAATGCATTAATTCATAGTTCTGGCCTGGAAGAAGAAGAGTAGAATCCTTCTGTCATTCCCCTACACAGACCTACAAGTTCATATACCTGTGCGTGCATATAGACAGACACGCGCATACAAATTCCAGTCATGCATACAAGTTTCAGTTATGCACTGAGGTGTAGGAATGGGGAAGCTTTCTCCATGGCTGTACCCTTATTTCTAAGTTTTTTTTTCTTCAAAGTGCCCTAGTGATAATTGTCTGACAATTCATAATTGTCCTAACCATGAAATGACACTGCAGGATGAGAGTTCTTTGAAGCTTGGAGCCTGGGGCCGAAATCCTTCAGCTCTGCACAATAGAGTGTACCATGGATTTCAAAGGAGTACTTAGATAGCTGCAGCATGACACTGTATGCTGTGTTCGACAAACAAGTCAAACTACTTGGATTTAAACTCAGTTACTTTATCAAAATTATAGTTGTGGTACTAAATTAAGAAGCAGGCAAGTAGTTAAATAAATTTAATTTTATGTGTGCTCAAACAAAGAGTCCCTGGAGAGTTGTTCAGAGTTTATGGAACTTAGTATGTACTCTTCAGGGCTTTTATCTCTGTTAGACCTTTGACAGTAGCAATATTTCTTTGATCCAGTAGCAATATTTTCTCAAAAATGAGTACCAATCTTTTACTTGGATTGTTTCATTGTATATATTTTATGTGTGACAAGAAGCTGATACAGTTGTGACGTGCAATTAAAATGTTGTACCACGGAGTGCTTCATTAAGGAGTGCTCCTTTGAAGGTTCCAGCCAGTCATGCCCTTTTCCAGGATGTGCCCTTCCATATCCCCCTTCCTGCTGGTTTTCCATTCTACCCTTCGACAGGCTTTTGGCAATCTATATCCACTGAGGATCCTCATTGTGCTATTTTGTTTCCCCCTCCAATATTAAAGCTCTACCCCATCCATATTTTGTTCATTTGCACTTCTGTAAAGCCTGCGGGTAATCCCTCTCCATGGCATGGTTCCATTTTAGCTACATATGAATGGGAAATGTAGGCCACCAGCTATTCTGAGATTAGTGTAGTTATAGTTGCACAGTGCTAAATAATGTTTCTTTGTTTCTGCATGATAACCAAAAGAGGAATAAAACCTTGATATAACTAAAGAGAGTCTGAAGTGACTACTCCAAGGGACAACGTTGACATACACCTGCATGTGCATGAACAAATAGAAATGGTATTTTATTTAGCAAAGGTTGTTCCGAATATGGTAATAGCGATATGTAGATAATTGTGCTCTCTTTCACTTTGGGCAATGAGAATGACCCAACTTTTCTTTTAGTCTATGTGCAGGAGCACTCTAGTGTATGGCTTTGTAGGAGCCATGAAAACTCATCCTGATGTTGACTGAAATCTAGTGTGCTCCAGAATGTAGGTGTGATAGAGAGCTTGGAGAATTTACTTCTGCACTACCTCTCCCTGACTCCCTAGGTTAGCATGGCCACTATTTTTAAAACATTTGCTCTACCAGAGGAAGATTAATTGCTACATTCAGTTCTGTGGACTGCAGTCCACTTAATGAGCTGCATGTGACAAAAGTGGGCTATAATTAATGAGAGCTTGTGCCATAATAAAAGCATGGCAAGACTTTATGTGCATGTGTGATTTTAAAGAAATCAGACGATTTCATTTGCCATTGGAGATTTGTACTGTTAAATGATTGAGAATCAACCACTGGTCTTAAATTGGGGTGAGGGGGTGTGGACTGATTCCCTCACAAAACTGAGACTCACCTCTAGAAGGGTTTTTTCAGCAGAAACGTGCTTAACAGAAAATTTGCTAAGACTACAATCAATACAAATTTGATGATGCAATGATATCAAGTTGTTTCCAACTTATGATGACTCTTTGCAGATTTTTCTGGGTATGGAGTTTTCTGAAGTAGTAAGTCCCATTGAGGGTGTGACTACACTAAATTTGATTCAGAGCCTGTATTGCCTTTGAAATTGCAGTCACTGCTTACATAGGGGCTGCAGATTGATTCTAGAGTTCACCGTTCATACCGGATGTGATCTGAGCTGCATCACAATCCACAGCTCCCCTTCTTTCCTTCCTTCCTCTAGTCCTGCTTGTGCCTAATCTGAGGAACTGACGAGGGCATAAATATGGGAAAGACTAATAACAGTGAACTAGTGATAAGATGATAGGATGATCTAGTGCTAATCTCATATATGTAAGAAATAAAAAAAATAGTAAAAATTTGGAGGATGATTGGGGGAGAGGAAAGAATATGGGAGCATGTTCTCCTGGTCCTGAACATCACACCCCAACTGCTTATGTCACCATATACAGACACACATTCCTCTGACATTACAAGAATGTATCCCAATAACCCCATGGAGGAAAACCAATGTAAATTGCTCCCATTTGAAAAAGCAAAAAAACCCCTCCCCCAGTGCCTAATCTGAGGAACTGAAGAAGGGCATAAATATGGGAAAGACTAATAACAGTGAACTAGTGATAAGATGATAGGATGATCTAGTGCTAATCTCATATATGTAAGAAATAAAAAAAATAGTAAAAATTTGGAGGATGATTGGGGGAGAGGAGGGGATGATCTAGTGCTAATCTCATACGTATACGTAAGAAATTTAAAAAAATATTTAAAATGTGGAGGATGATTGGGGGAGAGGAAAGAATATGGGAGCATGTTCTCCTGGTCCTGAACATCACACCCCAACTGCTTATGTCACCATATACAGACACACATTCCTCTGACATTACAAGAATGTATCCCAATAACCCCATGGAGGAAAACCAATGTAAATTGCTCCCATTTGAAAAAGCAAAAAAACCCCTCCCCCAGTGGCA